TCCACAGAACATGTTTTCTAATCCAAAAATCTTTCAATATTACAACTTTCCTTTGTAGGTAATTTCTCCAATCCTCTGATAATTTTGATTGCCCTTTTTTGCACCTGTTCTAGCTGAACAATATTATTTCACATCTTTCGATTTCGATGTGATTGGAGATCCAAAGGAAGGGAGATCTATCCAGGTGAGTTTTGAGAAGGAACTGAATGAGAAGAGAGTCTTCTTTCTGTAGCAAAGAGTTCAGAACACCCAACCCTTTCAACCTATAGTAATTTATAAGGGAAATGAGCGTACTCAGCCCCAAATCATCACAGCCTGTCTGGATCATTTATTCATCTCTTTTTCCCCAGCTATTCAGTTCTGCCACAAGAGTGGTTTCAGGCTGAAAGCAAAAATGAAAAACAGAGTGAAGTGAGGCAGAAAAACTCATAATAGCACAGAAAATGATAATGGGATCACATGGCCCACGTTTGTTGCATTAGGGACACCAGGCTCATTTTCAAGAGTAGGAAGTGCACATTGTCAAGCATTCATCTGACACAAGAGCAACCTCCTAAGAGCGATAATGTTGGCACTTTAGGAAAACCCATCAACGCCATGCTGACAAGAGGCTTTTCCTAAAGTCTATTAATTATAATGCATTATTAGCTGACCACAATCCAGGAACATTGTCTGAACGTCCAGAGGTAAAGTACAGCCACCGTTTAGCTAGTATCCATGGCTTGATCATTGGAACTGCCTTAATGATTAGCAAGTTGGTAAAACTATAACACTGAAAGGCAAGGACTGGACTGCCTGTCTGCCAGGAAACGGGTGGGATTCCACTGAGTAGACAGCAACAATGTGCCGAGGTTTCAATTGCTAAATTGCTGAATGTTGTATCATGCCATAAACATGACCTTGACCGCATGTGTGCAGACATACCGTGGACTTTTACTTTGTAAAGGATCAACATTTGTAAAAATTGTGCACAGTAACTTGGCTTAGAAATGTCAGTAATCTTTCTGAATCCAAATATAGTGTGTGTGTGTTTGCATGTGTATATGTGTGTGTGTGTACCTTTAAACTTGTTCTCCCCCCACCCTTCAAGTCAACCTAGTTGTATTTGTTTATTATGCTTTTCTTTTATGCAGCCTGAGTGATTTCCCATCGTGTCCTCACGGCAGTGCTGCCATGTAAACAAGGCTGACAAATAACAATTGGCCCAGGAAAAATTACCTCAGGAAAAGTCATGAAGGTTCCTCATAGTTAGCCCACCTTTCTAACCACAAGGCCACTCTGGTTTTCCTTACAACACTCTGGTGTAAAATATTTGACTGAATTATTTAAAAGTGTTTATTTTAGGGCTGCAGTGCTTAGCCGGCTAACCAGTTAATCAATTAAAAGTCTGCGGTAGACTGAAAAGCTGTCAGTGGTTACCTTTTTTTAAATTTCCAAAATGCTTTTGTGGATTAGCCATGTAATCCTTTTAGGTTCCAAGATTTTGACCTCTCAAATGAACAAGTAAGCATCTTAATTTTTTGCCGGTATAGTTTTCAGGTTGATTGCCCTGGGACAATGACTCTTAAGACTTGACAAAAGAACAATTAATCGTATTGATTGTATTTCAGTGGCCCAACAAAGGCATTGATGAACAGAAGTTAGTCCTGTGTCTCCTCTGTGAAGAGAAGAGGGCAAATGCAGCTGTGTATGTGAAGATATGCATAACCATATACTGTCTAACCATGCATTTTCATGGTAACAGGATAGGATCCAGTTACTGTTGCCTTCTTCTGAATCAGTTTTTGACTTCTCAATCTAGCCTGTAGCATGGGATTCCCTGATGGTCTCCCATTCAGGTACTATCAGGCTTGATCCTGCTTTACTTTCTAAGACCAGACAAGAAATAAAGACACATGCAATTTAGAAAGCAATCCTGTGGTACAGGTGGAAAACAGTAACTTCTTGGAAGTGATATGAACTTTCATCTTCTTCCTTTTAGGTTTCATGTATAAGTGTATCACAGAAATACTGTAATCCAGGATCTTCCTTCCAAAAACCCAGACTCTGACACTCCTGAAATTTCCCACTACTCGAAAATGAGATTTCCATACATAGCAGTACAATTCACATAATTTGCCATGGTGGCTGGCAAATTGATGAGATATAATCCTATGCTTCTAGAAGACCCCACATTGCCTAAAGCTAGATTAACCACAATTTCTATTGAACATTAAGTAAGATCTTAATAGAAGGAACAGTTCAACAATGGAACTAGTTCTGTACCAATATTATAGGCTTCTCTTTGCTGAATGTGTTCAAGCAGAGAAACACATTGGTGTTTTAATTTGACCTAAATAGTATCTTCCAACTCTATGTAGTCACCTAAGATGCTTAACCTGGTCACTAAATTAATGGATTTTGAGGATTCGCACAGTACCCTGAATGAAAAACTAAACAGTGGACCAGGTTCCAACATCTTAGTCACAACAAACGTACCTAGGATTAACATTAGCCAAGCTTAATATTTGCATGACTACATCTGCTATAGCTTTCTCTGATCTGGTTAAATATATTGTGTGAACACAGCTTCTGAGTTTAGATATTTATGAATTTGCACAGGTAGAAGTGGAAAATCAACTCCTGTAAGCCCTAACAAGCATAACTAAACCATTAGATTTTTATTTGGAGTGATGAAGTGTTAACAGGGTTTTATAAGGATACAAGGCTCTTGTTCATATCTTCCTCAACCATGAAAATCACTCTGGTGGCCAGACCTAGTCAAAATCCCTCAGACTAATATACTTCAAAGGATTGCTGGGAAGATTAAAGTGGTTAATAGGAAAAGAGGACTATGTTCTCTACTTGGTGTGATATTAATGTAATAATAAAAATAAAATTGCATGAAATCACAGAGGAAGCACTGTTTATTCCCAGCCTAGCAAAACTGTAGACAATGCATGATTAGATAGACAGCAGTTGCCTCAGGTTTCTGCTGGATATTGCCCTCTGTGGCATAATTACTGGGTAGGCATAGGATTTCTACTCTTTGGTTATGCTGTATTTTAAACACCTATTTATTTATAAAAATAATAAACTGTCAGGATAAGACAGCATGTAGCAATAGTTGCCAGGTTGGTGTTATACCATGGCATGCACTGTATTTTCCACAGGGAGATGGCATGAGGCATACGTGTAAATGAAGCCTTTTTTTTTTTAATGTAACTTAATATTGGTTTAAAGATAATATTCAGGAATGTTTGTTTAATCTGTTCAGCTTCAAAATCAGTGCGTACACAGAGTAAGAGCCTGAAGACAATAACAGGACATACCCATGTCCTCTTTCTTCCCCAAGCGTTTTGCTGGCTGGAGCCAAAAATAAAATGGAGACCTTTTGTTCTTTCCAATAGAGAAGCCAACTCAAGTCTTTCTGAAATCTTGGCTGTAAGATTGGAATCCAAGGCAATGGCAAGGCAAGAAAACTTGAGCCTTCAATGTAGGCTGTGAAACATCCATTATTCTGTGGTCCATCACCTTATTTCCACCCCTGACATAGCTGTCATAACTATGGGGCCAACCCTGACCCTTGTGCATGGAACTTAACTTTGTTTTGCTCCATGATATGGTTCACTTTCACATAAGAGTGGAGGAAAAGAGTGAGAAGATACATGGTAGAAGTATGTTCACATCATTCACATAATAAAGTTGGAACACTGCTGAGCATCAAGCAAATCTGTGGAGAATGCCCCTGTGGTAAGATCTCTAGAGAAACTTCTGTAACCTACCTCTGTGGAGTGTGTCCTCCAGTCCAAGTGGATACTGATATCAATTATATTGGTGGGACATGTTTTTAAATTCTATTTAACCAAAGGCAGACTTCATTTGCCACACCTATTTAGCCCATTTAATGTTGATGTTATTTCCCAATACTCAAAAACATGACTGTTCCTATCTCTGTGTACCCATTCCTTTACTTTCAACACAACATCGACTTCTACATTCCTGGCAATGCTTATTGAAAAGAACAATGGATCTTGAGAATTCCATTGAGGAATGCTGAGGAGGAAGAAAGATTTGTGCCGGGAGAAACTGACACAACATTCTTACTAAGAAAAAACGTGACATGACATGAAATGTGAGAAACATGTTGGTGTATGGCAGACCCATCATGCTCTGGCTTTTTCACAGAATTTTGGAAAAGATCCAGGCAATGGCTCCTTCCAATTGGAAAAGACCAGCAGCAGCAGCAGCAGCAGCAACAGGGTGGTCTTTTCCAGCCACTTCCATCATTTTTCTTTTTAGGAAAGAAAAAAAAAACATCATTAAGGAGGAAAGCGTGGAACTGCTGCACAATGCTTTTTAATAAGTAGCCTTCCAAGTGGAGGTACCATAGTCTACAAATAGAGGAAGTGAAGACTGTTGAGAGATTTGCCAATCTCCAATGTAGGTTTCATTTGTTTTTTTAAAGGAGGATTACAGCTGCTGTGACTACATCCTCTGATTTCACAAACTTAACTTTTTAACCCAATTGTTTTCTTGTTCTGTATTCCCTTTCCAAACTACTACCACCCTTGGAGCAATTGGATAGAAGCACAATATGACCTGGTGGCATTTCACTTTTCAAAGTCCAGAGCAATGTAAGAATAAGACAACTGAAATTAAAGAAATTGCTGCTTAACTGTTCCTTTCCTTCGAATACTTAATAAAGGCAAGCCAATACAAATGCAGCAGGTTTGCCTGACTGGCAATCGTCTTATTGTTGGAATTTATACACACACACACACAAATAGTTTCTGAGAATGAACAACCTCTGTTTTGTGCTCCTTTGCTCAAGCACCACTCTTGTATCCCAGAGAATACAATGGACTATACTGTAGGTCCCCATTAACCGATAGCTCCCCCGAAGTGTCTCCCTTTGCCACTTTTGCATGAGCCTTGCAAAACCTCATAACTCAGTATGTTCCTGAGGGAGCCAGGAAACCAGAGAGTACCCTGCAGAATCATCCACTAGAAGCCAGAGAACAGATTTGACCTACCAGTATAATTTTCCACACATTTACATTTTTAAAACCTGCTTTTTCCAGAGCTTCTAACATGCTGTTTTCAAGTCTTCCTCCTGCAACAATGCTTCTAAGCCTCTTGGCTGGCTCCCAGATACTCCATTTCAGTAGGTCCCCCAACATCTTTCTTGCCTCGGCGGCGGAACTCTTCTGTAATTTCTTCAAAGGACTTGCCTTTGGTTTCTGGCACTTTAAGGTAAACAAATATAACGAAAAGGGCGAGGAGGCCAGAAAAGATCAGAAAGACATAGGGGCCACATACTTTCTGTGATGGATGAGAAACAGAGACAGAAGACATTACCATCATTGATTGCAGGAAGGTTTGTGATTTCAGAATATACCCACCCTCAATATTACTCAGTTTTCAGAAAGAACCACAATAGTGGAGGTTAAAAAAATGCCCATCCTCATCCTACTTCTTCTGCAGTTATTTCTACGGTGCAGAATTTGCTATTAAGCAAAAAAATAACCATTTTAAAAATTGCAATGTACATTTAAAAAATTATAAAAACAATGGACTGGTCATGGATGTGAAAGAGGGTTGAAGAGATGAGGATAATGCTTCTCTGAAGACAACAGGGAACCCAAAAGGATTTATAGTAACCAACATTCACCCATTGCATGCCAATAGGGCTCCCCTTTCACTGTCTACTTGATTAATAGAAATAGAAAAAGTATACAAAATTCACATTTGTATGTAAATATGCTTGTTTTGCATAATTTCGGATTGCATAATATGTATCTTATTGCATGGCTGCGTTCTTACATTGTTAACAGTTCTGTAAGCACTACTGCATATATTCTAGCTTTGTTTGGGCATTGTCCATCTGTGGTATAATCTGTGACAGGAATCTGGCAGCAGTTCTCCCAGACAAGATTTGTTTCCATCCTACACTATCTGGAATCCTTTTATCTGGATATATCAGGCTTAGAACATGACCTCCTGCATGTTATTAACTGAGATATGGCCCTTGCCTCCTTCCCGTCCAACTGATACCTTCTATGATACTAAGGAGCCATAGCCACATATATACCTTGAAAGAAGAAAGTTGCAGTAGCGGGTGATGTGAAAGACCTGTACCCAAGCTCAGGTAAGCTACCATATCTTCAACACAGACAATCCTGGCCTGGATCAAGCTATTCAGTCTGAGTATCTTTTACATGTTTTGAATGCTACGACTGTCAAGCACTTCAGATTTGAAAGCAAAAGGCTGCTTCAGAGCAGGTAGTGGCTTGAATGTAGCATCTGACTAAAAATCCTTCAAGCATCCATACCATTTCTCAGTCTTGTGCAAGTGTGGGTTTGAGGAGTTGCAGAGAGGTACTATGTTTGTGCCCCTGTGCAGTGCACATCCTTGTAGTCACTACTTCTAACTCAAAATCCAATATTATTGGTATCTGTTCACCATGAACAGAGGAAACTGAAGTAATCTCTTAACATTAGTTGTGATGCTTCCTTTACTAGCTTACTGTAATTTTGATGGCAGAACTGTAATACTCTACCAATAATTATGGAATCCACACGTACCTTGATATCACTGTAAAGTCTAAAACGTAATCTTCTGTCGATCATTTTATCTACAAGCTAGATAAAATTATCAGCAGAAGATTATGTTTAAATGGACAAATCCTGGACAATCCCATTCAATTGTACAGTGTCAGCATTATAGAATAAATGTCATGGTTTCCTTACGGCCACGTATGGGAAGAACATTCCAATGCAGAAATTGGTGAACCAGTTGCTAAAACCAGCTATTGCAACAGCTGCTGGGCGAGGACCTTGACTGAATAACTCTGCAACAATGAACCAGGGAATCGGTCCTGGCCCAATTTCAAAAAAAGACACAAAGAGGAAGACAGAAACCAAGCTGAGGTAGCTCATCCATTCATGCTTGGGCTGAAAACAAAAGCAAATGGAACCATATTAACAACAACCTCAATGCATCGGCTTTCAGTCACTGTGAATGGAAAAACTCAGATGGCCATCACCTATATGCCTGAGTGGCTATGTGCAAGCCTTATTCACATGGTCAAATATCATGGTTTCATTAATTAATGTTATTTTGGCTGGTGTGTACTGGATTTTATGTGTGTGTAGACCATCTTTATATTCCTTGTAGATGATTTAAGAGTTGAAGAGATTGGGATAGTACTGTGATTCCATGCCAAAGGCTAGATGGCATGACTTAGCTATCATATTTACTTTATTCAGTGAAAGACAGCAGGTTATGTTGAGTTAAGGCTACTACAGAGGGTGAGACCCTGAGGCCCTCCAGATGTTGCTGAGAGCTCCAGCAGTCTCAGCTGCCATGGCCAATGATGAAAGATGCTGGGATCTATGGTTCAATGACTTTTGGAAAAGGCTTCAGAGGATGGGAGCGATTAGCTGACCTTATCTGGGCTTGGAAGATAAGAAGGGTCAGCATGGTTGGTATTTGGATTGGAAACCACTTGGGAATCCCAGGGCAATGGGTTAGACTGAGAAAGCAAATTATACTCTGGAACAAAGCAGTTCCATCCATTTGCCAAGAAAGCTTCACGCTTGTCAGAATGGCAAAGCTTCAAGCTCTGTCAGAATGGTACATACCATCCACCTTCCCTTAAACTTTGAGAGCAGAGGGATGGAGATGTTACATTATGTCATTTCCCCATGCACAGGGTTTTATGTCACTCCCACTTACCGCTCTATTTTTTTTTTTACACAGTGTATATTCTGTGTAACTTAACTGGTCAACGTAACTAGCTGTGTTCATGTACTCTCCAGGATTTGAGCTTGACTCAAGGGCATCTTTAGGAGGGCTACAGCCTTTCCTGCTTTTCTTTACATACCCAGTTTATACATGACACCCATCCCTACCCTCATTGTTGATTGTCATGGTTTGTGTGCAAACCCTGAGATTGCTAATTAACCATCTCTTCTCTGGTTTAGCCACTGTGACTTCTTCTATTTCTTATCCCATAAGCTCTCCCATATGATCTATAAATAGAGTAGGATTAGATGAGGCCAGACAAGGATGGGAAGGAAGATCACTGTTGTTAAATTAGAGAATATTTCCTCTGTTGACCTGGCCATATCCCTTATAAATTGCTTCTTTCACCAGACCTTAATGATGGTACTCAAATTATATTCCTGCCTGCTGCTGTTCACGAACCTGGTTCAAAATCTATTGTGGACCTGGCTCAACTCCTCTTTGGGCTCTGATCTTTTTTCACTGGATACCATGACAGAGCAGGAAGTCTCAACATTTTATATCTTAAGATCATTCTCTCAAAGAGCTTGGATCCTACCAGATAGAAACCAAAAGCCTGCTTTTTCCCAAGAAGTAAATATATTATACCTACAGGCATTCTGTTACTATATCAGTTATGATAAAATTTAAGAGCATAAACATTTCAGTAATACTGTTTATTACTGTTGGTCGCACAGTCAACCAGATGTTTAGACTGGATTTGGCATTTTTGTCCACCTATCGAGTCCTTCCCAAGGACCAGATTATTATTATTATGGTTGGTCACACAGTCAATCAGATATTTAGACTGGATTTTTGCATTTTTATCCACTATCGAGTCCTTCCCAAGGACCTGGGATAGGCAGATGTTGTTTGATAGTATTAAAGGTATCATCGCAGGATATAAGCTGTTCCAAGTAAAGCTGCCTTTTACAATTGACTGATGGTGACTTTGTCAATGCTGATGGTGATTATTATTATTATTATTATTATTATTATTATTATTATTATTTAACAAGAACTCACTAGGGTTGCAGCAGTGTTTGCCACTGTAGCAGCAATCTTTCCTTAACTCCAAATCAAGAAATACATACAAATATTAAGAGAGGGGAGAGTATGTGTTAACTAACACAAAATGTTACTTTATTTAATTTTGGCTCCTAAACCCAAATCTTTCAAGGGCAGCTCCGGTTGTAGGAAACATGTTGTGATCCTTGGTTCCCTTTGCATTAGCACATGCAACTGGACACTGACATTTCTACTCTCGCTTCTCTGCTCTCCTCTTTCTCGCTTCCTCTTGCTTTGGAGAAGGGAGTCATGTCCCACTTAACTTACTCCAGTGCATCACCAGTGGTACATATACCAATGGTTGAGAAATACTGAGACAGACCACCCTCTTCCAAGACAGGAAGACAGGGCTATAGCCCACCTACTGATAGAATACAACATTACCCTTAGAATCACATAGGTCTCTTATTCAGCTGCATGAAATAAGCCTTACCAATTCCATGGAGAAAGATTAAATATATAACACTTAAACCTGCAATTTATTGGATACATCATCCCCATTCACCAAAATGTTCCTTTAATGGTGCAGAATAGAAGGGGGAAACCTCTGATGTTTCCATATCTACTGTTAGGTACATAAAAGAGTTACTGCTGGTACAACAAAATCCCTCTTAGGAACTGTCCAGTAATGACCCAGATCTAGTATTGTTTCCAGTGACTCTGGAAAATTCTGTCCCTTTTGAGATAGATAGATAGATAGACAGACAGACAGACAGACAGACAGACAGACAGACTAGATAGATGGTAGAGATAGAAAATGTACATTTTTGCCTGTTATCCCCTTCTTTTACCAGTCTGTTATCCCATTTTACTAGTTAATTGTTTTCTTGTTTGCCAATGTTTAATAAATACCAAGCTTTTTTTTTTTTTTTTTGCTAGCTGAACTAAGCAGCATATGTGCTTGTTCTGATGTGGATATAGGAATTGACTGGGAGTGTGCTGGGTGCAAACTAAGCTGCAAATTACCCAGAGCATGATTTACACTTTATAAAAGAATAGCTCACTATGAAGTACCAATGGCATTCTGCTAGAGAGACTAGATCAGTGTTGTCCAAACTTGGGCCATTTTAAGAGGAGTGAATTACACCCCCAAGATTCCCCAAGACAGAAGTGTGGGGTTTGAAGTCCA